TGGTTTGGTCTGACTCTCTAGGCAGGCACTGATGTGGCTCAGGCTTATCTAACAGAGCCTCCTAAATCCAACAGAAGCAGAGATTTATTTTCTGCAAAGGAAGGTCTTTGTTTTTCTGAGTGGGTAGCCAGGTAGACCATGAGTCCCTCTCCGCTCTCCTCACCCCACCTGGAAGCCCTGTTTAGACACTTCCCGGCTGCTGCCTTACCTGATTGTGTGCACGCTGCGTGCATGCTTCCTGGGTTTCCCCCATTCCCAAATGACCAGCTGAGACTTGGTTCTGTGCCCTCCTGGCCTCCAACTGCACTAGGAAGCGTTCTTCTCAATCAAACGTCTCTCCTGGGCCTTATCATGCCACATTAGACTTCCCCCAAACAAAAGGCACTCTAACCAACTTTCATGGAAATTTTCTTTCTAACGCTAAACGTTCCAAATCATAGCAAACAACAGCCTCTAAAAATAATGTTATACTAACATCACTACCAATGCTCCCCTTGATCATTAGGGTGTCACTTGATTTTGTTTTTCATTTTTTTCATGGGCAGTCAGCATGGACATGAGCTTCTGAAGAGAGTTCTTCCCATGAGCAATCAGGGCTGCATTTGGCCTCAAAGAACGAATGCTTGGAGCTCTCCCTCTTTCTCTCTAAAGTCAAACAGTGATGAACAACTTGGACACTGAGGTTCACCACAAGTCATCCTGGTTGCTTAAAGGAAAGACGTGGGCAGAGCTGTCCCAGCCGGCTGGTCTGCTCCATGTCACTGATTCTGTCATAACCAACAACAGCTGGAAACACGACCCTCTAAAGTGAAAGGTCTACCACAGACACCCTCTCCTGCTCAAGACCATCGCTTTCTCGTGGTCACTGCAGGCTCAAGAAGGCACAAAACCAGCCTCATTTTCAGCTGGGTTTCTCAAGCTACCACAACAACATAGGGAGACAGCTGCTTTCCAAAGCTCGCACAAGGCAAACCAAAAGATGGGGGTAGCTGCCTTTCATGGGCAAGAAGGCATCTAAGGTCATGCTGTTGTTGTTAGTCGTTCAGTCGTCTCCAACTCTCTGTGACCCGTGGACTGCAGCAAGCCAGGCTTCCCTGTCCCTCACCATCTCCCGGAGCTTGCTCAAACTCATGTCCACTGAATCAATGATGTCATCCAACCATCTCATCCTCTGTTGCCCACTTCTCCTCCTGCCTTCAATCTTTCCCACCATCAGTGTCTTTTCCAATGAGTCAGCTCTTCACATCAGGCTCATTAAAAAGCCCCAAAGCTGCCATTAATCAGAATAGCGGCTGACAGACCCAGCTCATCCTCCAGGCAGGAACACAGGACAGCCTCTTCCCAGGCTGCCCCCCACGACTGCCATCAGGAAATGCAGATCCTTCACTTTCTGTCTAAAGCCATGGCCGGAGTCTTTTCTGCCTACCTCTTTACCAGGGCAGATCACCAGAAAACTGCCAGTCTCCAGGACAGCACTTGAGTTTCCTAGGGAAACCCCTCTGAGGACACCCTGGCTTCCCTCAGGGAGCTGTACCATGCCATTTTTGCCCTCTCTGCATTGGCTGCTGGCAAGCTGAAGGTACCTCAGATTTTTGCACATATAGCAAGCTCTCTTCTTTATAACATATATTTCTATAATCTGAATTCTTATTTTAATGGCCCTGTTGCATGGGTATATTATCATATGTGTGTGTGTACGTGCTAAGTTGCTTCAGTCCTGTCCGACTCTTTGTGACCCCACGGACTGTAGCCCGCCAGGCTCCTCTGTCCATGGGGATTCTCTGGGCAAGAATACTGGAGTGGGTTGCCATGCCCTCCTCCAAGGGATCTTCCAGACCCAGGGATCAAACCCAAGTCTCCTACATTCCAGGTGGATTCTTCACCACTGAGCCACCTGGGAAGTCCATGTTATCATATAAGTGATCCCAAATCATTTTAGGCAGAAACTAGAAATTGTCTTTAAAGTACCATTAAGTTTCTTAATCTATAAAGTAAAAGCTAGTAAAACTGCCTCATAGGACGTATTCAGTAACACAGTGAATACACAGCATCTAACAGTACCTGGTACACAGTAGGTGCTCTATGAAATCTGATGTGATTTAAACATCATCACTTCATTTTTAATTTACGTCCAAAGCAGCATTATTGATGTTACCAAGTCAAAAATTTTTCATTTAATTTACAATTTAGAACTTATTTTATTGCAAATTGGATTGGAGCCAGTTCAAGGCACCAAATGAATTATTTTTGAACTACAATAACTGAAATAAAACCATGCATACAAAAGAGAGAGGGAGAAAAATACCAGCACTACAGTGAGTTAAATATTAAAACTGAGCCTTACATTTAACTTTGTGTTTTTTGAAATCCAAAGCAGAAATGAAATCACATTAACTTATCTGATGCTCATCATCTGATAAATGGCCTGTGCAGCTCCTATGGAAAGTGACTTTTCTCCTAACACTGGCATCTGAGGGTAAGTGTTCACCCTGCTCCTCACAGGAGGTATCCTGGGTACGGAGCAGAAGGGCCACATCCATGCATGCCTGCACGCAAAGGTACACACATTCATCTTTCAGAAGAGATGCTTTGCTTTTCAGTATTAAATGGTTAGGGCCTGGTGGGTGAGCTCTCTGGAGATTTCCCATGAGTACACAGAGGGGTGTTCTTTATTGTTTTCTAAAACTCTCACCAAGAAATTTTGTTCGAGAGCACGGACCAGTGGATCAGATCACTGAGAATACCACCCATCCTATGTCAGTTTACACACATTTAAAAAAACATGGAGTTAGATTATTCCTTTTCATCCCAAAGAACGGACCAGTTTCCAGGTTCGCATCTGTAAAACAGCCTGTCCAGTGGCTTTCCCGAGAGTGCAGGCTGGCCTCCACCTTCCCACTCCACACAGCCTCCCCGACCCCTCTGAGCCGGATGACCAGAGGGGTCTGTGACAGGGAGACCGACTTCATCCATGGAGGATCTGCTTCTCAACGCTTGTGAATAATCAGAGATAACAGACTTCTCTGCGAAAACCATGATCGCCCAACCAGGGGCAGGACCAAACGCTAGCAGGATTTATCGGCTTTGATGAACAAAAAGGTGTTTGTTTTTGCTGGTAATTAGAGTTCAGTAGCAAGCTATAAAGAGTTCTCTGAGAATTCTAAACAGACTGTAGCTAAAGGCTACTGGATTATGACCAAATCTAATCATTCATCTGCAGACCTCCCGAGTTAAGATGCCAGTATTTGATAAAGCACAACCACACAGACCACCAGAGAGGAATGTTCTTAATGTCCAAGGAGAAAAGGCGGCCCGCGTGTGCTCACGTGTGGGGGTAACTGCTGCCATGGGATGCAGCAGTTCTCATAAATATATCTCTTCAAAGGTCCACACACCCTGCGTGTTGGGCAATGTTTCAACAACTCTGCACTCTCACAACTGTCAGAGAGTGGGTTCCCAGGTCCTACGAAAGGCTGGGTGGGGCATTTGACAGAGAGAAGTGGTTTGCAAAGCCATACGCATTTGCACTTTTCTTTCAGCACCCACTGTTGAATGTGGGGCTTTTTGTGTTTTTTTTTTTTTCTTAACAAATCTGAGATATGAATACAAATTTGACTACAATTAATTTAAAAAGTTATTTTCTAGTAGTATAGGCAAAAGAGGACAAGCAAAGTGCTGTCACCAATATTTTAAAAAATACTGTCAATTGAGGTTTGACAGAAAACAACAGAATTCTGTAAAGCAATTATCCTTCAATAAAAAAATAAATTAAAAAAATACTGTCAAGATGAAATAAATGTGTGCTTAGAGATAACTGCTCATCTTGCTTGTCTTGGCCATTAACTTGTTATTTTCTCCTTAATCCCAGAAAATACGCCTAAGATTATTTTCATTTACTCTACTCACATTATGATAACCAAGAGGAACAGAAAAGTCAACAACAAACTCACCCACAAGAGTGAAAAAAATTAAAACGAGACCAGATATACAAAACAAGGTTAAAAAAAAAAAAAATCAAGCCCCAGATATGGCTAAGACGAGGGGACAACAACTGCTTTTGTAGTCCTTACCCATTGCCTCTACTCTTGAGAAGTTTAAGTTCACATTTAGGATTCCAGGCATCTTACTATCTAGGGCACTAGGAAAACTTGACAATATATATATTTTCCCCAAGAACTAGATTTCCATTTAATTTTGTTCTCTTCAGTCCAATATAAATTTTCCCATTGTTTTGCATGTTTTGGCCTCCTCAATTTATTTATTTGAAGTTCTCAAGCAGTCATTTCACAATGTTTCCTTCAGAGAAACATAAAATAGACAGCTACTCCAGGCGGAAGAACAAGACCTCGGGCCACAGGTTGAGAGTCAGCTGGCCTCCTGCCCCGAGGCTCCCTGCAAGTGATCTCCGCCTGGGCCAGCCTCTCAGCCCCCGCCCTGCTGTCTCCTCATCTGAAACACCAGCAGGCAGCCTCAGATTCTGTCCACACTGTCTTTGGGCTCTAGGGTTCTGTGGTTCTTTCTTCCTCAAGGGGAGAATTGCCAATGGACAAAGGGTGTAACTGATGATTCTTTAAGATACTGACGATCTACTTTCAGAAAGTTGGACTTTGTTTGAAACTGGCTAAAAAAAAAAAAAAAAAAAAAAAAATTCAACTGCACGAAGATAATCCCACTATCTGAATATATTTAGAGTGAATCAAAATCGTGCTGATCTGGGAAAGGGGATGCAACTCACGACAACACTAAGACCTCTTCCTTTTACAGCGTGTGCTTCAAGAACAGACCAACCTCAAATGAGCATTTCCACTCTCAGAGACAGTCTGTTCAGTGATCTCCTAGATTCCCTGAAGGGCTGGGACTCGGGCTTGCCTAGGTCCCTACTCAAGAGGAAGCAAAGGTGCCCAGTAGCACTGTTTTGGAACTTCCACAATCTGAGTGAAAATAATATGTATTCAGAAAAGCATTTAAAGAGGCAGAACAATCCAGAGTCTGATACTTACTTGTGGCCCAGCTCATGAGCGATGGTAAAGGCCAAATTGAGGCCATTGTCTTCGGCAAGCACACATTTCCTCTTAGCACTGCACACACCTCCTAAGTAAGCAATTCCTGCAGCAGAGACACAAAACACATCCTCTTCAGAACATGCGAGGTCCTGACCTCGCAGGGCAAATCCACACGGTCAACATCACACACCATCGAGAGGGGCAAGCGGGGGCGAGGATGACCACGGGACTGGGCCTGTCTCTCCAGAGCTCATGGAGACTGGCTGGTCGGTGTGGGATGCTTCTGCATTTGTCTCATGATGATAAGAACCACCACAAGCATCTCTCGAGCATTTAACACGTATCAGGCTGAGCAGTTAGCACATCTTTTCTATCAAAGTCCTCATTAGCCAGGATGGAGGCAACAGGGAAACTGCAGTTCAGAGAGGAAAGGTAACTTTCCCAAGGTCCCCTGGACTGGCACGTGGAGCTGGAGGCTGAGACAGCCAACGTCAGCATCCAGGGCCAGGGTCAGGCGAGGCCAGCAAGGCGAGATGCCCAGCGTGCAAGGTTCAAGGACAGGACCCTGAGGGGGCGAGCAGGCCCTTTAGACTCTGTGCCCCGGGCCTCCACGTCCCTAGCCCCAGGCCCAGCCCCTCCAGGGTTAACGCTCTCAGAGGGTGAGCCAGACCAGGGCCAGGGCTCACTCAGAGCAGGCCAAGGACAGTGGGAAGGTTCAGGAAAATGTCTCAGGGGCCCCTCGAAGGAAGAGACCGGGTCCTGGGAGGAGTGAAAGACACCAGAAGAGTAAGGGCCGGGAGGCCATCTGGGAAGACAGAACCCGCGGTCCGACGGCTCATGCCCGCACACACGTGAGGAACCCCAGGGCCTGCCCTGAGACGGGAGACTGCGGCAGCGTGACTAGGGGAACCAGACTCAGGAGGACACTGTGAGAAGGGGCTGAGGACAGAGGACGGAGGGGGCGGCCTGTGGGGAGACGGGGTGAGGAGAGAGGACGGAGGGGGCGGCCTGTGGGGGCGATGGGGTGAGGACAGAGGACGGAGGGGGCGGCCTGTGGGGAGATGGGGTGAGGACAGAGGATGGAGGGGGCGGCCTGTGGGGAGATGGGGTGAGGACAGAGGACGGAGGGGGCGGCCTGTGGGGGCGATGGGGTGAGGACAGAGGATGGAGGGGGCGGCCTGTGGGGAGATGGGGTGAGGACAGAGGACGGAGGGGGCGGCCTGTGGGGGCGATGGGGTGAGGACAGAGGATGGAGGGGGCGGCCTGTGGGGAGATGGGGTGAGGACAGAGGACGGAGGGGGCAGCCTGTGGGGGCGATGGGGTGAGGACAGAGGATGGAGGGGGCGGCCTGTGGGGAGATGGGGTGAGGACAGAGGACGGAGGGGGCGGCCTGTGGGGAGATGGGGTGAGGACAGAGGATGGGAGGGGGCGGCCTGTGGGGAGATGGGGTGAGGACAGAGGACGGAGGGGGCGGCCTGTGGGGGCGATGGGGTGAGGACAGAGGATGGAGGGGGCGGCCTGTGGGGAGATGGGGTGAGGACAGAGGACGGAGGGGGCAGCCTGTGGGGGCGATGGGGTGAGGACAGAGGATGGAGGGGGCGGCCTGTGGGGAGATGGGGTGAGGACAGAGGACGGAGGGGGCGGCCTGTGGGGAGATGGGGTGAGGACAGAGGACGGAGGGGGCGGCCTGTGGGGAGATGGGGTGAAGACAGAGGATGGGAGGGGGCGGCCTGTGGGGAGATGGGGTGAAGACAGAGGATGGGAGGGGGCGGCCTGTGGGAAGATGGGGTGAGGACAGAGGACGGAGGGGGCGGCCTGTGGGGGCGATGGGGTGAGGACAGAGGATGGGAGGGAGCCGGCCTGTGGGGGCGATGGGGTGAGGACAGAGGACGGAGGGGGCGGCCTGTGGGGAGATGGGGTGAGGACAGAGGACGGAGGGGGCGGCCTGTGGGAAGATGGGGTGAGGACAGAGGATGGGAGGGAGCCGGCCTGTGGGGGCGATGGGGTGAGGACAGAGGACGGAGGGGGCGGCCTGTGGGGAGATGGGGTGAGGACAGAGGATGGAGGGGGGCGGCCTGTGGGGGAGATGGGGTGAGGACAGGAGACAGAGGGGGCGGCCTGTGGGGAGATGGGGTGAGGACAGAGGATGGGAGGGGGCGGCCTGTGGGGAGATGGGGTGAGGACAGAGGATGGGAGGGAGCCGGCCTGTGGGGGCGATGGGGTGAGGACAGAGGACGGAGGGGGCGGCCTGTGGGGAGATGGGGTGAGGACAGAGGACGGAGGGGGCGGCCTGCGGGGGCGATGGGGTGAGGACAGAGGACAGAGGGGGCGGCCTGTGGGGGAGATGGGGTGAGGACAGAGGACGGAGGGGGCGGCCTGTGGGAAGATGGGGTGAGGACAGAGGATGGGAGGGAGCCGGCCTGTGGGGGCGATGGGGTGAGGACAGAGGAGGGAGGGGGCGGCCTGTGGGGAGATGGGGTGAGGACAGAGGAGGGAGGGGGCGGCCTGTGGGGGCGATGGGGTGAGGACAGAGGACGGAGGGGGCGGCCTGCGGGGGCGATGGGGTGAAGACAGAGGATGGGAGGGAGCCAGCCTGTGGGGGAGATGGGGTGAGGACAGGAGACAGAGGGGGCGGCCTGTGGGGGAGATGGGGTGAGGACAGAGGACGGAGGGGGCGGCCTGTGGGGGCGATGGGGTGAGGACAGAGGAGGGAGGGGGCGGCCTGTGGGGGCGATGGGGTGAGGACAGAGGAGGGAGGGGGCGGCCTGTGGGGAGATGGGGTGAGGACAGAGGATGGGTGGGGGCGGCCTGCGGGGGAGATGGGGTGAGGACAGAGGATGGGAGGGGGCGGCCTGTGGGGAGATGGGGTGAAGACAGAGGATGGAGGGGGCGGCCTGTGGGGAGATGGGGTGAGGACAGAGGATGGGTGGGGGCGGCCTGTGGGGAGATGGGGTGAGGACAGAGGATGGAGGGGGCGGCCTGTGGGGGAGATGGGGTGAGGACAGAGGATGGAGGGGGCGGCCTGTGGGGAGATGGGGTGAGGACAGAGGATGGGAGGGGGCGGCCTGTGGGGAGATGGGGTGAGGACAGAGGATGGAGGGGGCGGCCTGTGGGGGAGATGGGGTGAGGACAGAGGATGGAGGGGGCGGCCTGTGGGGGCGATGGGGTGAGGACAGAGGACGGAGGGGGCGGCCTGTGGGGGAGATGGGGTGAGGACAGAGGATGGAGGGAGCCGGCCTGTGGGGGAGATGGGGTGAGGACAGAGGATGGAGGGGGCGGCCTGTGGGGAGATGGGGTGAGGACAGAGGATGGAGGGGGCGGCCTGTGGGGGAGATGGGGTGAGGACAGAGGATGGAGGGGGCGGCCTGTGGGGAGATGGGGTGAGGACAGAGGATGGAGGGAGCCGGCCTGTGGGGGAGATGGGGTGAGGACAGAGGATGGAGGGGGCGGCCTGTGGGGAGATGGGGTGAGGACAGAGGATGGAGGGGGCGGCCTGTGGGGGAGATGGGGTGAGGACAGAGGATGGAGGGGGCGGCCTGTGGGGAGATGGGGTGAGGACAGAGGACGGAGGGGGCGGCCTGTGGGGGCGATGGGGTGAGGATAGAGGATGGGAGGGGGCGGCCTGTGGGGAGATGGGGTGAGGACAGAGGATGGGAGGGAGCCGGCCTGTGGGGAGATGGGGTGAGGACAGAGGATGGAGGGGGCGGCCTGTGGGGGCGATGGGGTGAGGATAGAGGATGGAGGGGGCGGCCTGTGGGGGCGATGGGGTGAGGACAGAGGATGGGAGGGGGCGGCCTGTGGGGAGATGGGGTGAGGACAGAGGATGGAGGGGGCGGCCTGTGGGGGAGATGGGGTGAGGACAGAGGATGGAGGGGGCGGCCTGTGGGGCGATGGGGTGAGGACAGAGGATGGGAGGGGGCGGCCTGTGGGGAGATGGGGTGAGGACAGAGGATGGAGGGGGCGGCCTGTGGGGGCGATGGGGTGAGGACAGAGGATGGGAGGGGGCGGCCTGTGGGGAGATGGGCTGAGGACAGAGGAGGGAGGGGGCGGCCTGTGGGGGAGATGGGGTGAGGACAGAGGATGGAGGGGGCGGCCTGCGGGGGAGATGGGGTGAGGACAGAGGATGGGAGGGGGCCAGCCTGTGGGGAGACGGGGTGAGGACAGAGGATGGGAGGGGGTCGGCCTGTGATGGGCGATGGGGTGACGACAGAGGATGGGAGGGGGCAGCCTGTGGGGAGATGGGGTGAGGACAGAGGATGGGTGGGGGCGGCCTGCGGGGGAGATGGGGTGAGGACAGAGGATGGAGGGGGCAGCCTGTGGGGAGATGGGGTGAAGACAGAGGATGGGTGGGGGCGGCCTGCGGGGGAGATGGGGTGAGGACAGAGGATGGGTGGGGGTGGCCTGCGGGGGAGATAGGGTGAGGACAGAGGATGGGAGGGGGCGGCCTGTGGGGAGACGGGGTGAGGACAGAGGATGGGAGGGGGTCGGCCTGTGATGGGCGATGGGGTGACGACAGAGGATGGGAGGGGGCGGCCTGTGGGGAGATGGGGTGAGGACAGAGGATGGGTGGGGGCGGCCTGCGGGGGAGATAGGGTGAGGACAGAGGATGGAGGGGGCAGCCTGTGGGGAGATGGGGTGAAGACAGAGGATGGGTGGGGGCGGCCTGCGGGGGAGATGGGGTGAGGACAGAGGATGGGTGGGGGTGGCCTGCGGGGGAGATGGGGTGAGGACAGAGGATGGGAGGGGGCGGCCTGTGGGGAGACGGGGTGAGGACAGAGGATGGGAGGGGGTCGGCCTGTGATGGGCGATGGGGTGACGACAGAGGATGGGAGGGGGCAGCCTGTGGGGAGATGGGGTGAGGACAGAGGATGGGAGGGGGCGGCCTGTGGGGGCGATGGGGGTGTTCCAGGGGAGCAAAGCTGTTCTTCTACAGAGGCCCAGGAAAAGGACAGGGCCTTGGATGGACTGGGCACCGCTGTAGGTCACGGGCATCAGCCGTGCATGGCTGCTCGTCTCCGGGGTGACACCACCTGTGGTGGCTCTGCACACTCCTTCGCAGCTCTGAACCTCGGAAGGGCATCCCCGTGGTCCTGTCCAAGGACC